TACGCTCTCTTACGGACTAATGAGCACTGGTCGAGTGGAAAAACGGTTTAAAGTATGCAAAAAAGCATAGGCCTGAAATCAGGCTTTCACTGATGTAAACACTAAAAAATACTACCAAATTATTGACTTTTTACAAAAAAAAATAGTTTTTGAATTTGCTATATAGAAAATTTTAGTGCATGGTACTAGAACAAGTTGATTCTGAATCTAGTTTTCGAGTCAATCAATCATTCATATAGACAACAAAAAACTGAGATTTGAAACCGAGGCTAATTGTCAGAGTGGATTTGCCATATAGGCATATTATTGGATGTGGTATGCTGTCAGATCTGTGGTTTCTATTGGTGGATGGTGCTTACCACGATCCTCTTTATGCTGGTTGACGATGATATGATCGATTGGGGATTGAAGCTCTAATGGTTGGACGCACTGTTGAAGATATCTTTCGATATTCCTATAAATCGGTCGATTTATCGCGTACCGTTGTCTAACCGATAAGATAAATCGGCCGATAATTCAGCCGATATGGCGATAAATCAGCCGATATGCCGATAAATTGGCCGATTTACCACTTATCATGGGTCGACCGATAAGTTTCCGATAAGCGATATCCCCAACATTGGTTGGACGTAAATGCCCTTTTTCTCATTGTTCTCTTCCTCTTCTTATCTATAGAAATAGAATTAGACAATCAAGCATTTCCTAATTAACTTCTAATGTTCATAGATTTTTTAATGGCACAACAGCGTAGGTTTTAACAAAATAAAAATCAAGAGACAAGCAAGGAGTTATGGTTAACCTGCACCTATGCAGCCGTGCTAGACCTTGATCGGTCCCCTTCTGGTGGTCTTTTGCGTGAAGGCTGGAGAAAATTCATCCTGGCGGCGGTAGGCGGAGACTCTAGCGGACGATGGGTAGGAAGGTCACACGAAGCCACGATCTGCGGTCAAATATGTCGATCAAACTGCCAGGAAACAAAGGGCCTGCATGCGCTTCTGCTGCCTGCTGGGCTTCGCGTTTGATGTTGGGCTTTTTTCCTACGCTAGGTTTTAGTCTGTAACTATTGTACATGGGCTGGGGCATGGGGAGGAGTCCTGAGGAGCTTGACGATGCGTCACAGGGGGGGGCGAATTGAGTCAAAATGGGTGCATAATTAGGATCTGCCTAATCGCTATCAAGGGAAAACGTGATCGTTAGGAGGGGCCTCGACCCCCCTTGGATTCGTCCCTAGGAGATGGAGGAGTATCTATAGCCCTAGGGGGGTGAAGGGGTAAGCAAGGGCATCATGGGAATTACATGGGAAAAGCCCGCAGCTTCACACAGGGGGGCCCGTGTGCATGGGGTAAGTGGAGCTTGTGCGCACGGTCTCTGTGAGGCCCGTGGACACAGGGGTCCCATGGGCACGATACACACCCGTGCGCATGGGGTCTTTAGGACCGTCCAACTTGGGATGCCTGTGGGCATGGGGTTGAGGAGGCCCGTGCGCACGGGGTGGCCTGGGAGCTTTTGCCTTCTTCTTAACCGGTTCCTTCTCTGCTTTCATGCTGTCGTCTTGGATGGTGTAGTAGTTCTCTTGCGCTTGGACTCCTCCTCGATAAATGTGTGGCTCCACTCACACCTATGTATGCATACGAGAGAGGGGTCAAGTAGTATACCATCCTCGAAGGGCACAAGCGAACATGTGTAAAGGAGATGATGCACCTTTATGTATGTGAAGTAGATGTGGCACATGTCACTTGCCAAATGGACTCTTTACATGGTGATGCCCGTAGGATGCTCCGCATCATCCCCTCCCCCTTAGGAAAGATCCATCCTCGGATCAAGAACCAAATCACTATGGGAAAGAGATGGCGCCCCGTGTTGAAGTGGACGATCACCAAGCGTTCTTCATCTTGAAGCTCGAAATGGGCACTCTCCAATGTCGCACCATCTCGTAATTTCTTCAAAAGAAGCAAAGACAACAAACGCTTGGAAAAACAAATGTGGTTAGCGTTAGTGCAAAATCAAGCATTCAAGAGGTGATTCACCCAACAAGTGTCATCGTCAAGCATAGCATGTGGTTTGACAAAGAAGTGTGGCATGGCATTTAAGCATATAAATTGAGAACAATCAAGGACATCATGGAAACAAGCATGTAAATGTGAGGTTGCGATGCAAATATGTGTGGCAAGAGAATAAGAATCAACCTCTAGTTCATAGCAA